AAAAAAAAAAAAAACAGAACTTGTGTTCTAATATAGATACAACCAAGAAAAAAGAAAGAAAAAAGAAATGAGAAAAACGAGCTCAAACAGCGAGTTGTTGTTGATTAGATGGAATCTTCTTCATTGGAACACAAATACAGGTTTGATGACTTTGATGACTTTGATGATGAAGCACACAATGAAGATGGCAATAATAATCCTTGTGAAATGTTGGTTTTTTCAGGTTGCAAAATCACCATCTCCCTTTGTAGATATGAACAGTATTTCTGAAAAGTTGATGGGCTCACATTCAAATTGAAGCCCAATCCAAACAGAAAATCAACTTCAAGGAAATTCATCTCTGCTGTGCTAATCCCTCCAACCTTAGCATAGTATGCATTATTGTAGTACCTGAAATTAATACATTAGTTTATTGCAGTAAACAAAAATAAAAATAAAATAAAATATTTTGAATTAGAATAAAACAGACTATTTAGGCCAATCTTGAAACTTCACCAAAAAAAATCTTGATTTAAAATGGAAAAACAGATTCAAAAGGGACAAAAACAGAAACCCAAGAAGTAAAATATAAAATAAAATTTACTCACATGTCATCCATGAATTTAGCAGAAACCATAACACTTGTAATGAGCAGCCTGTGAAGATTGAAGGAATTAATCCGCAAGCTCGGTTGGCTCCGTGTGAACCGGTCCAGGTAGACATAGGCCACAATGTAGCAAGAATGACTGCAATTAGCATACTTGAAAATCCTCTGCAAATAGCTCTGTATTGAGATGGTTGGCCGAGTGAGGCCGTGGAAGGCTGAGATCATCTCGGGCTGTGATCGATGGTTGAGATCGTTCGACTTGGCTGCCCTTTGGAGGAGAGATGAAAGAATGGTGATGAGCTTAGGCATCAGCTCCATGTTTGAGCTCTCAAGATCTGCCATTTTTTTTTTTTTTTTTTTTTTTNTTTCACTTATGGAAATGGACATTATGTGTAGGTATTTATATGCAAGTAAATTTTGCTTTGTTTTTTATTTTTTGAATAAATTGTATTAAACTAGCCTTTTTTTTGTTTTATTTTTAAATTACGTTTGCCTTGTTTCCTATACTGTCTTTTAAATCTGCAATTTGTTTGAGAGGTGTAATATCTAACAGTAACTCAATCATATTTTTTCAGCATAATTTTAAATAAAAATATTATGCTCTGAAAAACAAACGTAAACAAAAGTAGGATATTTCAGAGTGTAAGGATTTATTTTTATTTAAAAAAAAAATGTATGATGAGTCGACTTGTCCAATGATTCAGTCGAAACACGAGAATTTACGTTTGTTATTTCAAATAATTTGAAACTCGAAAATTAGTTTTGGTTAGAAGAAAACAGTCCACATTTTTCAGCCCTCAAATTTGTGCTAACTGGCAACAGCTTTAATATATTTGCTTTCTTTCCAACTGGTAGCATCTAATTTTCGAACTCTCTTTACATGTGATTCTCAATAATTTGTGCTTTTTCTATAACAAGCCATTCTACAAGTTCTTTTTTTATAGCATTTCCTTACTCTGTATCGGTTATAGCACAACTATTTAAGACGAGTGTATATTTTCGTTCAAAAATGCGGAGTGTCTAATTATTTGAGGCAAGATACTGTAAAATAGTTTGTGTAAATTTTTGCTCCATAATAAAGGTTGCACCAATGGAGTTATTTTGGATGACATAATTCATGGAGTCATCCATAATTATTCATAAATATCAATGTAGTGATACTTATGTAATAAAAACTCGTGAAACATCTATATATATATAATTACTAGCTAATAGAATTTAATAAAACCTATTTAATTTTACCTATGTGGCAATTTAATAATTTTCCCTCAAAAAACCGTTACATTTTGATGTATTTAATCTTTCATTTAATCATTAAATAATTAATACTCATCACTTTAAAATTACAAAAATCATTTTAAACTTTCGATTAATGACAGTTGACCATATAATGTGTTGACCGTATAATGTGATTAGATGTTATTATTGTTGTTACATTTAATTTTTTTTTAAAATAAAAAATATATTTGAAATTCCTAAATAAATAATAAATAATTCACAAATAAAAGACGTACCAAAATATACATTACATCCAATCAGATAAACGCAATTTAAAAAAAAAATATTCCAACTCTTTTAATTGTAAATTTGGTCTGAAAAAAAAGTGAAAGAAAAATAATTAATCATTATATGTACAGACTCACAATAATTTATTTATATCTGTGCAAATGCACAGGTCGAATACTAGTTGTAAAATTATTTTGTAGAAGACCATATTTATTAAGAAGAAAGAAAGGTCAACTGATGGAATTAAGAAAAAAAGAAAATATTTGTGGGCCTTTTGTATTTAAATAAAGTAGTGAAACTAGTGGGAAACTTCAGGGTTCATGTGACAAATTCTGACAAAATATAATTTCGATTCAGAGAAG